GTCCTTGCAGCGCCAGCATGCGTCGTGGCAGCGTGAAGGAGAACGCTTGCGCCGACGACGTCTTGGCGCTGATGAAGTGCACAATCGTGGTGGTGGTATCTTCACAAGATCGTCGAGGCGAAGTTCTGGGGCTCTGTTATTGACGGGAACTTTGCACCACTGGCCCCCCGGACCCTGTAAGATGCATCCCAGGTCGGGGTCCCAAAGTTGCCGAAAGCCATCGACCTCAATTAATTGTCCGACTGATAATAACGATGGACAATCTGGCAAGGCAAGGGCTGGACTCTGAAAGCCTACCTCGGCAGTTGGATGTCGTAATGCTCATTGACAATGCGATCACCATTGGCTGTCTCCAGAATGTGCTCCTCGCGAATAGATATGCGATCGGATTCGGTCTGCGTAAGTTCGTTCTTATCCTGACTATGGTGCGCAAATCCACTGTCGAGAACCCAGGAGCGTGTCAGGGCGGCTGTCGATCTTGGTGGGTCGACTTTATGAGTCGCTACTGACTCCTGGTGCGTCTCGGAGGACTCTGTGGTAGAGTCGTCGGAACCTGTAATCGCAATGGGTGTTGACACCGACACTGCATCGTGTCGGTAGTCGTGTAAGTCCTTATACCATGAGTTGGCCTCCCGTTGACAACGTTGTAAGGTTTCTGCACTCTGTTGCCGCCACCATTGCGGCAGCTGGTACCTTGACGATATCGCCCTCGTTTGGCTTGTCGATCCACTTGTCGAGAGTGGACTTGCCAGAAACGACGTGCGGAACTTATTCCGCGGTATGTGTGTCGAAACGTATCCGACGCCGTGGTTTGGTAGATGCTGTCTTGGCCTTGTGGATGACTTTCAGAGTCTTGCCGCGTCTGACGTAAATACGGTCGGAGCGGCGTGGGCGGCGGTTGATAGCAGGAGAGCGTGCCGTGAACTTAGGGGAGCCACGGGATGAACTGCGGCTCATGAAACGGCGGTCACGTCCTCTGTCGCTGCCATATGATCTGTCGCGGCCACGCGGGCTGCCACGTCCTCCGCCACGTCAGTCCCTTCCCCGGGAAGATGACCGTGATGATCTATCGTATCGACCCCTCGACTGACTGCAAGAGTCGGTAAATTTCCTGGAGGATGATCGAGATCGGTCGCATTGGTGTCTGTTGTCACGTCGGTTGTATGAGCCCCCCGCGCCCCGACCCCCCCCCCCCGCGTTGCGGGGGGCGTCTGCTCCCTGAGCCGCGGGATGGCGGGCGGCCGCGGCTGTCCTGACTGGAAGTCCGCGGGCGGCTGGGGCTCCTAGCAGGTGTCTTCGTACCAGCTGCCAGGTGATCATATTTGCACGCGTCACCCTTGTGACACTTGTTCTGGGTGAAGAAGCCGCACTGCGCCAGATGTGGGAAGTTGCGCTTGTCGCCGCGTGCGCAGGACCTGCGCTTGGCGAATTTGAAGCAGAACGGCTTCGAACCTGGCTTTTTGGAATTCGCAGGGGCTGAGATGCTGCGGTGAGCGTTGCTGCCAGCGTTCGATGCTCGGGGAGATCTGCCGTCCTCCCCGCCCCTGGAATAGGCATGCAAAGCTTTGCATCGGTCAACATGCGACAGTTGCCTTTCTTCCAGGCTGCGCAGATGTTCACCTGAGAACGGTTCTCGTCCTCGTACTTTAGCTTATTTTGATTATTCTCGAGTTGTTTTAGCTCCAGCACGTCGGGAACGCGTTGTCGGAGCCAATCATAAGTACGATTTGGGTCGCTTATCTTAATGCGTTGGTACTCGTACATGTCCTGTTTCATCCAGGCATGTCGGCGAATCTGAATGCGAAACAGAGATTCCAAAATCTTTGGGTCGGGTGCCTCTCGGCAATCCAACAAGAAAGCGCCCCGGTCAGTAACGAATCGTTGCAGGCCGTCACACCTCATCCTCAATTCTTCGAGGCGCTCGAAATCGTGTAGGTCGTCATCAACCTCGGTCACTTTGTAGGACTGCAGGATGTGCCAGTAAATCTGGCGTCCTTTCAGCATTCGTCCTGCTTTGCGTTCTCTGGTTTCGATGGGCCTGATCTGGCAGCGCAGATCGGAGGACAAGATGTCGCTGAGAGCGGTGGCGAGTTTGCAATCGATGCTCTCAAAGTCTCCGCTGTCTTGTAAATCTTCAAAGGTGCACTCGGGCTGTTCGGCCACGCATAGGAAGGCATATGCTTTGGAGGGGCGCCCTGAAGCGGCCCAAAAGTTCTTCCGTACCTTTTGCTGCCACTCGAGCAGCTGCGTGATCTTAGGTGAGACAGGGGCTCTGACGGTGTCTGACTCCTTAATGGGAGTAGTAGTATTGACTGAAACCGCAGATAGTGGTTGTGAGGGTATCGGTGCACCGTCGGTAGTTGGTTCTGTGCGCACGGGGGACGCGTGGCGTGTCTGTGCTGAAGCTGCCGCGGAGGCTGCTCCTGGTGACGCGCGTCTTTGTTGTCCTGCAGAAGCGCGCGGTGATTCCGCGGACGCTGCCGTCGGCCTTGATAGGCCAGGCGAAGGCTAAAGGTGAAGTGTGGTGTCATGAGCGTGGTCAATCAGGAGATTCGGAGACAGGCGTTGTGCGCCTCCACTTCATCTTCCAGGCGTGTGAGACACTCATCAACACGTACCTTTTCAGCATCTCTGCCCCGAATGGCCTGGGAGAGCTCAGACTGCGCGTGGCCCGCCGCCGTCTTAACTTCCTGCAACCTGTCAGCGAAGCGGGCGAAATCATAAACCGTAGGAGGAGATCCCAGCTGATCAGTCTGGGCTCGTCCGACACGAAACTCTGCCAGGGCGTCCTGTACATCAGGTAAACGCTGCTCGATTACAGAGATCCGGTTATTGAGGGGCTGCACGACAGCGTCAGTCGCATCAAGCCGTTGAGCAATGACTCTTTCAACACGTTGCAACATGCCGATCCGGGTCGACGAGTTGGTATTCGCTTCAGCGCGGAGCGTCGCCGTAGTGTGGCCCACGTTGGATCGAATAGCATTGAGTTGGGACTGGGCGTCGCCGAGGTCGCGTGCCTCGGCTGGAGGCGGTCGACTTCGGAGCTGGTCATGGATCTCGTCGTGTAGGATCCTGACCGCTGAAACGCCTGTGTCGCGGACGATCACAAGCTGTTGCTCCATCTGCGCAAGGTAGTTGCGCAGGTGTTCGACCGTCGCCGACCGTTCACCTGAGTATGTCATCTCACGGTCAACCTGGAACTTCAGCCCTCCTAAGATACGACGATCTTCAGCGATCCTGGAATCGATGATCGCTATGGCGCCGTCGAAATCTTGACGTAGGGCAGCAGCGTTGGCAGCGTTCGTCTGAACGCTCTACATCAGTCCAGAGTACTGCCTGGACAAGAGGGTTCAACCTGGTCTCGCAGCTCAGCAAATTCACCTGCAGCGGACGTGGCCGCCGGCAGGTCGTCTGAGAGGAAGAGGTGAGGAGCGTCAGCTCCCTGTTGCATCCTCCCGCGAGGAGTGCATGGCCTCTGGGAGGCCGCACGCGGGCTCGACCTAGTCTCGTCGTAGGGGCCTGTGGCCTCACGACGGTTACGCATGGACGAGCTGCGGCTAGGGCCGTGCGCGTGCAGTGTTGTCTGACGGGATGATACCTTGGGATGCTGCGCCTGCGGCTGTGCCGCCACTGGTCTACCGAGCTCCTCGAAGGCGGCAACGTGCTCCGACACTGGAACGGTCGCAGGACTGGCTGGGCCAGCACTGGTGTTCCAACGGCGTTTAGCGCGGAAGCGCCCAGGAGTATCGGGACCAGTGGGGCTTGCGCCCGACGCAGTAGGGATTGCTCCCGACGGAAGAAGAGGAGATGGAGGGTCGAAAGTAGGCGTGTGAAATCCCCCACTGCCTGCTCCTACTCCTTTTTTGTGTCCCCCCGTGGGCGGCGTGGCGTCGAACTTCAGCAGCTAGCCGCGCTTCGGATCCGTCTGAGCTGGGGGGGGTATCTGGGACACCCACACGGTCACCTCTAAGGCTCTCCAACTCATCACCGATCCGTCGCGCCGTCGGAGAGCGCGGACGCGAGGCCTCGAAGGATCCCTTACGGCGCATGCGCCGCTTGGGTTCCATCGAGGCCGCGAGCGAGATCGCGGCGCAGGGGTCGGTGAATGGTGAGCTTTAAGGGCAGATAACCTGTGTATGGGGTTGGCGTACAAAGGTACAGAACCCCTGATCCGTTGGTAGAGGATAAGAGGGAATGATGGGGATCTTTTCCTCCTGTACGATCAACAGTATGATCGATACCAAGACCTGAGCCCAAACGGCCAGGAGCAGGAGAGTAAGGAATATATATATATATATATGAGGGTATCACACGGGTCCTATTCACACTTTCCTGGCCTGACACTCCTAATGCGCTCCTCCAGGCCACGCGTGTTCTTCTGGCAGCCTTGGCCCGCAGATTTCTCGCCATCCACAGCCGTTCCTCTTAGGGGGGCGGATTTGGCCCTACGCGTTCCGATGACCTTCTGGTCTGGCACGCGGCCTCATCGCCCTCGCTGCCTGAAGCTCTCAATACATCCCTTTCCAACAAGCGTGTATGCTCTCGTGCTCTGCGCAGGAGGTTGCTCGGAGTCAGACTTCTATCTGCAGCATGGCACCAGTTCAGCAGGTGTCATGAGTTGACTGCGCACCTAGATGTTCCTAACGAGGAATGTTGCGCTTCCAGGGGGTTCAAGCCAAGAGTACAAACACGCCCATGGCCTTCGGGGGAGGGTGTGCCTGGGGAGTCAGGCCAGGTGGGCGATACAGCTGTGATCCAGGTGAAAGGGGTGTCGCATTCTGTGCGGCAAATTCGTGTCGTGCCGACGTCGGCGTTGGTTTCTGACACCGCGAGTATCTTTCAACCCTGAACGGCCGGCCGTTTTTGACATGTTAGATCGTTCAACATCGACGGGTTCTGGGTCACCGGCAGCGTTCAGCGTTGAACGCCGGCGGCGGGGTTGCCGCCGGCACGCAAAACGCGAACCGCAAAACGCGAACATATCATAGGGTCCAGGTTTTGTGTTGTCAAAGCTTTTTGCTGCGCAGCGAATCGTAGCCTCGGAATCAACTCCGCAGCCACACCTAGCCAGCCGCAGCCGCCAGGAGGGACTGGTGCTGTGCTGGAGAAGTGCTATCAGGCAGCCCACGGAGAGGCGGGCACGGGAAGGAGGAAAGGAGGAAAGGAGGAGGAGGAGCAGGATGGAGGCGAGAGGTGGCGGAGAAGGAGGAGGGAGGCGAGGTGGACGAGAAGGGTGGAGGAGGGCGGGAGAGAGGGAAAGGTGGGAGGGGTGGGCGGGGGGCCACAAAGGAGAGATGGGGGCCGTCCATAAAGAAGAGATGTGGGCCGTCCATGTTTAGGAGAAGGTGCAGCTATGTGCGCAAAACATGCAACATGATACGACTAATACTCAACAGCCTGATCACCCCGCCCTGCTGTCGAAGCCAACGGGATTCCACTAGCCTGGAGAACATGAGCATGTGCACGCGAGGAAGAGGATGTGCGAGGGAGCAGGGATAAAAACATCAACGTGGGATGGATGTGGTGCGCTGTCAGTGCGCTCAGGGGCAAAGAGTGACGCCCGAGGTCAGAACCACCTCCTCCAAAACGGCTCCGCACAAGCCGAGCTTCCCGTCGTGGTCGCGTGAGGAGCACGAGATCTGGCGAGCGTTCATGCTGGATCCCTCGAAGCCAGCGATGTTCTCCGCCAGGTCGTCAAACATGTAAACGCTCTCCGGCGCGATCGCCAACCCCCGCTCGCGCGCGAACCAGGCGAGCACGCCTCTTGCGCACTCCTGCTTCTGGCCGTTCGGGCAGCCCAGCACGAGCGGCGAGGACGGGTTGTCCCAGTTGCTGAACTCTACCGCGGAGTGCCCGAGCTTTTCCGCCAAGATTGCGTGCTCCTTGGGTCCGCTCGCGCCGCCCTGGGACACGATGCCCCTCTCGCACGGGGCGCACGCGGTCTCGTCCACGCCCTGCCCCAGACGGGACAAGAGAAGCGGGCCGCCCCCGAACGCGGAGTCGAAGGCGTCCTCCTCCCCCCACGGCAAGCCGCATTGCGCCTGCCCCTCCTCCACTGAAGGGGAACGTTAGCGAGGGGCCATATCAGGTGGCAAACATCGAGCTTGAGTCGGCGGCACATCGCCGATAAGTTCGCGATACGCACCCCGACTGCAAATCCGCACAACTCCCGGCGGTGTGGGCTATCTGGTCCCAAGCGGCGCTGAATGTGCGATCGGGGATCGACGCATCCACCCTGAGCCTCTCTCCCCTGACATTGCCCCTGACCCCTGGCCCCTGACCCCTCCTACTCATCCTCCTCATCATCCTGGTCCTGGTCCTGGTCCTGGTCCTGCTGCTGCTGCTGCTGGTCCTGGTCCTCCTTCTCCTCCCCCTCCTCCTTCTCCCCCTTCTCCTTCTCATCGCTCCCCAATGGCTTCTGCGTTGTCTGCGCGGAACGGAATCCTCGGCCGTTGTGCCTCGAGTGTCCTTCTCACACCTCCTCCTCTTCCTCCTCCTCTTCCTCCTCCTTCTTCTCCTCCTCCTTCTCCTCCTTCACCTCCACCTCCACCTCCTCCTTTTCCTTCTGCTCCTGCGGTCGCGAGTCCGCGGGCGCACGACGCACGGGGGCGAAAAGGCGTCCAGCGCGCACCCGGGCAGACTCCGTCAGACGCGGCTGTGAGGCCGCCGGCGTGCGCCGAGGGGTTTTGCCTCCCAAAGTATCCCTGTGAGAGCCCCGAGCAAAAGCAACGCGGAGGGACCCTCCACGGGCCCCCCGCATCCAGCCCACCTCGCACCTCGGACCCCTCAGGGCCTGGTGTCATCCCCAGGCTCGTCCTCCGCCACGTCCACCTCCAACTCCACCTCCTCCTCTTTCTTCGTCGGCTCTCCGACGAGCGTCACATCGCCCTCCTCTGGCGCCCTCGGCCTGACTGCGGCCTTCTCCTCCGCCGCCGCCGCCTCCTCCTCCTCCTCCTCCTCCTCCAGCCTCTGCCAGTGTTTCTCCCTGCCCTCAGCTTCTACCTCCACGTCCTCCTCGTCCTCTTCGTCCTCCTCGTCCTGCTCCTCCTTTTCCTCCTCCTCCTTCTCCTCCTCCTCCTTCTCCCCCTCCTTTTCCTCCTCCTTCTCCTCCTCTGCCTCTTCCTCCTTCTCCTCATTTTGCCTTTCTGGGTCTCGCCGCAGGCGAAAGCTGGTCGAGATAGAAAGATGCGATCCCGCATCCAGTGAAACGAAGCGCCTGAAACAGGCGACGGGCCGCGCGCCGACCCCGCACCCTTCGGGCTGAGAGGGGGGCGAACCCGAGGAGGGAGGGACAGGAGCAGAGCCAGGAGCGGGCAGGGACTGAGCGGAGCAGGGAGAGCAGGAGGGACCGGGAAAGCGAGAGGGAAAAAGGGGGGAATGGAGGGGTAGAACACAGCCGAGAAGCAGCAGAACCCGAACGGACGCGAGCGCGACATTCGACCGGGGGCAAGAGCAACAGCGCGAAACGGCACGACGCGAGGAAGACAACGGCGACGGCGCATGACAGCTCCGACACGACGAAAATGAATAGGAGAACGACGCAAAGGGACACGGCGGCCCGAAAGCGGCCCACAAGGGCGGAAAACGACATATTTCCTCCTCCTCCTGCTCCTCCTCCTCCTGCTCCTCCTCCTCCTCCTCCTCCTCCTCCTCTTCTTCCTCCTCCTCCTCTTCTCCTCCTCCTCCTCGTCACTCACTCTCACTCACTCATGCGGGCAGGAAAATAAGCCCAAGCCAGGGGAAAAACGAGAAAAGGACACATGCAATGGATTCGTGCAAGGGGAAGCAGCAGCAGCAGCAGCAGCAGCAGCAGCAGCAGCAGCAGGGCCAGTCGGTCAGGCTACCCCCCAAGGGCCGCGGCCGAGGCAAAGTCGGCGTCCCCCGAAGGGCGGCGGTCCGTGACGGTCCAAGAAGGGCCACAGGCAACCGAGAAGGCGAGCAACAAGCGAAGAGGCTCCGCAGGAGCCCGCGGAAAGCCACAGAACCCACGGGCCAACACACGGTCGAAGAGACCGACAAAGGCAGGTTCGATCAAGCACGCCTGCAAACTCGCAATGCCGATGCTATGGTTGCAAGACAAGAGATGCGAGAAAGCAAAACGAGCAGACGGTTGCGTTCTGTTCGCGGACTGCTCGGCGAATACGCCCCAGTCCTCTGGCGGGTCCATGCCGACCCAGACTCCTGTGGTAGGCGCCGCCTCCGTGCGGCGTCTCTTGACATCCGACCGTCCTGTGAGAGCTCGCACCTCGGGGGGGAGGGAAGAGGAAGGGGCGGGGAGAAAAGACACCATAGGGATCGCGTGCCGCACAGCCGTTCAAAGGAGGGCCGAAATGGCGCGCAGCCATTTGTTTTCATCCACTACAGTCTGGAGGGGGCGTTCTCGCAAATACTGAAGGCCCCAAGGAAATTCAGAATTGCGCATCTCCACCTGGTCGCTGTTGCCAGGCAGGAGACGGGCCTGCGGCCAGGAGGTAAGAGCAAAGTCAGCACACACGCCGCTGATCACCCCTTCCTCCATGAGCCTGGTGAGCTTCTCCAAAACCCCTGGCGTGGCAAGGGAAGGGCGGTTATCAAGACAGCTCACTCCAACATGTATGTATCTGCGTCCAACGGCGTCAGCCAACTCGCTAGCAAGCTGGTCCGCAGGTCCAGGGAGGTCGGTTCTGGGGGACACAAGGAGCACCGCCGCTTCAAAACGGATCTGAACGGGATCGACAACCGACGCATGGATGGCCGGGGCCGGGGCCGCCTACACAGGAGCGCGCGGCATGAACATCTTATCCCGCCTGGGTTGGCCCACCAAGGGCCGAAACGGGGCCGCAGGAACCCCTTGATGGCAGCGCGGTGAGCGAACACATCACTAAGGCCTTTGGAGCGATTGGAGGATCTGACATTTTTCCGATCCAGAATGGCCTCATCCAGCTCCGCTTGTGACGGTCGCAGGGGGGGGGGGGGGGGGGCAGCCCATGCTGCTCTGCACCGCGGGGCCCCCTGGATGTGCTTAAACAGCCTGGCGGTATCCCAGAACTGATACTGGCAGAACGGGCATATGGTGCCCGTGACAAATGAAGACGGAGAGAGAGTGGTTTGGTGGAATTTCCCTATATGGGCCCTGACCGTCTTTTCAGAAGTCGAGGTAAACCCGCAAGTGTAGCAGAGAAAGACGGGCGGGGGGGGATGGTCCTGGGGGGCGACCTCCTGCTGACTAGTTGGGGTCGCACTATCCTGGAGGGCAACTCGCCATCTACTGGTGAGTTGTTGTTCCTGCCACAAAATATTGCATCTGGTGGCGACTCGCTTGATGAGTCCTTTGAAGTCCTGCGGGGCAACGCGGGCATGCTGGAGCATGTAAACCAGGTGGTCCTCGGGGCCAAGATTGGAGGGGGGGGCAAACCTGCGCGTCCATCCAATGTCGTTCCTGATGAGTTCGACCCACGCCCCTGGTAACTGCTGGGCAGCATCCAAGAGGGCCCGACCTTGGAGGGGGGGGGGGGGGGGGGGGGGCGAGACAAAATGTCTGGAAGAGCACGCATACGGCAAAACTGACAACACCTGTTCGGGGGGGGGGGGGGGGGGGGGCTGTTGGCCATGAGCAAAATATCATCGTTCCTGAAGTGTTGTTCGCTGCTGTTAGAAAGGCTGGGGCAGAGACCAGCTCGATGCACCTGAATGTAGGCTGTATGAATACGCTGCGTGGCGTAACCTGGTATGTTATCCCAGACCGCCGCAGCATGCCAACATCGAGACGCGCCCAGGGCTTCCGCATAAAGCACCTTCGAGCGGTTAGGAATGAGGAGCAACGTGGCGACGAGTTGCCGAACGGGTCTTAAGGCCTGGAGGGCAGCAGCATGACGAGCACTGACCTCTCCCAATGTTGCCGCTAGCGGAGACCAGTGTGCCTAGCACCTTATGAACCTGAACCACTTCGAATTCGTGCCCCCATTTCTCCGAGCGCAGGGTCATGGTGGCCCTGTGGGCCAATTCTTGCTTAACTCTTTTGGAACCAACCCCGCAGAGGAACAAAAGGACCTTGGATTTTAACTCGTTAACAAGGAGGCCACGCTTCAAAACAGCTTCAACCATAATGTCATAAACTTGAACGGTCATGTCGGGCATGGCTTGGGCGAGGCCAGCCATCAACAGGGTCAAGTCATCCACAAAGGAGACGTCTGGCGTTGGTGTCGCCCAGTCCTGCGGACAAGAGATAGCGGGTGGGTAAACCGGGGGTTGCCAAGTGAGCCCTGCCGCTTCCATGCCTTGCTGGATGTCAGTGAGCGCGCCCGAGAAGACGACGTTGAAAATGTCCCCTGCTGGAGCCGAGCCTGGCCTGGAGCCCACGGTCGGGGCAATGTGGCTGTCCGTCAACAGCAGCTTCCAACAAGATCCAGACTGAGTCTCCTGAAGAAGGGACAAAAGGTGCTTATCCTCGAAATGGGGGGTAACCAGGGATGGGTGTTGCAACTGGGCCCGAACTCCATTTTGCAAAAACGGGGTTACCTCCATAGTGTCCACACATGGGCCAAACAGTCAACGTCTCTAGGAAGGTCGAGGGCAATTTGCTTCACGGCAGAGTAAAACGCCGCCACCAGGTCGACGCACAGGGCGCCCGCGCTGACACGGTTGACCCGACACGCGTGCCAATGCTGTCTGATACCCATCAGAACGAATTCAGCCCCTTTTCCCGCGACCCCCCCGCACTGCGTAAGAAGGAGAGCAAGGTGCAGCTATTCCTTAGCCAGCAGGCGAATGTGCCTGTGGAACATCTTAGAAAAAGTGTTAAATTTAAGGATGTTGCGCTGCCCGCTGGGCAGAGGAGGGGCCCCGGCGTTTTTGCTGGAAAAAAGCCACTTCTCCGATTTTGAAGTTGAATGGCTCTCTCCCGTGCACCGCCACTTTGGTGAGAATGGGAAGAAAGAGATCGCTCATGATAGCGGGCTCGGCTTAGAACAGCTCATCTGGAAAAGGCGTCTGGTCCAGCGCTTCGCCCAGACTGAGCCTTGGCGAAAAGGGGCTGGCAGACAAAGGGAGACGGAACAATG